TTGTTCGGCACCACCGGCTTAATAATTACACCTGGGAAGGGCAGGTAATGGGTCGTATCCACGCAATTACGGCTCCCCGCCAAAACACTCATTTTTCTTTGTCACGTCGGGCCGCCTTAATTGGAGTCATTGGGGCCGTGTTGGGTGGCGACTGGGGGTCTTTAGCTGACTATCCTATTGAAGCCTTTGACAGGGGTCACGTCAGGGTCGGGTCTGTGGTACTGTACTCGCGACTGTAGGCCGCCGGTGCGCTCCAGTTCAGCAAAGGTGGCTGGAAACAATACAGTAACATGAGGGCATAACTACAATACATCAACGTTATTGTGGCTACAGTCAAATGGGGTCTTATGTGCCTCCGTTTCATTATCGAAACTAGCACTGCAGGGCATTTTCAGTTCCCAGAGAGTGTCTTTTTGATTCATGGCAGGTTTCGATGTTTGTCGATTTCACAAATGAAGAAATTTCACATATTTCTTTCATAAAAAACAGAAGTCAAATATTAAAGATAGGAGCATGATGAGTGTTGGGGAAGCCTGACAAGCTTATAGTCCCCATGTGGTGAAAATCAAGCTTTTAATGTTGTTATGTCTGTGTGTTTTATGTTTTATGATAGAAATTCAAGGATAAAAGGGCATGCACAGACAGCATCCATTTGAACTTTTAGTCCAATAATGTTTGATTTATTTTTAAAAGATAATGTATAGTTGCCTATAGATGTATACATAAAAATATGAAGAAATGTGAAAAATCACAGTTAGAAAAGTATTAATGGATCTTTTCATTTCTTAAAAACACTGTCTTTAATGAAACTAAAAATACCCAATTAACTAAATCACTTTTAATACATTTAAAATACACTACTACTGATCTAAAGTTTAAGGTTTGTTGAAAGTGTCTTAAAGGGATACTCCACTTTTTTTGGAAATAGGCTCATTTTACAACTCCCCCAGAGTTAAACTGTTGAGTTTTACCGTTTTTGAATCCATTCAGCCGATCTCCGGTTCTGGCGGTACCACTTTTAGCATAGCTTAGCATACATCATTGAAGTGGACAAGACCATTAGCATTTCTAAAAAAAAAATGACCAAAGAGTTTCAATATTTTTCCTATTTAAAACTTGACTCTTCTGTAGTTACATCGTGCACTAAGACCGACGGAAAATGTAAAGTTCCGATTTTCTAGGCTGATATGGCTAGGAACTATACTCTCATTCCTGCGTAATAATCAAGAAACTTTACTGCCGTACCATGAGTGCAGCAGGCGTAATGATATGACGCAGCACCTGAAAAAAGGCTACCTTCCGTCAACACAACGGAACTATTTTCAGGCGCTGCGTCATATCATTACATTGTAAAATTAGCCTATTTCCAAAAAAAGTGGAGTATCCCTTTAACAGTAATATTGTAAAATGTTAAACTGTTTTCTATGTGAATATGTTTAAAAGTGTAATTTATTCCCGTGATCAAAGTTGAATTTTCAGCATCATTACTCCAGTCTTCAGTGTCACATGATCCTTCAGAAATCATTCTAATATGATGATTTGCTGCTCAAGAAACATTTCTCATTATTATCAATGTTGAAAACAGTTGTGCTGCTTCATATTTTTTGGAAACTGTGATACATTTTTATTCAGGATTCTTTGATGAATAGAAAGTTCAAAAGAACAGCATTTGTGAAACATCTTTACAAACATTACAAATGTCTTAATGTCTCTTTTTGATCAATTAAATGCATCCTTGCTGATTAAAAGTATTCAAATTAAATTTAACTGACCCCAAACTTTTGAAATGTAATATACGCCCCTACTCCAGATAAATACAGTAGCCTATGTGCAAACATGACAGGTTATAGATGTTACATGCTGTTAAACCAGCGATTATTTTCCCTAACACTGCGACTTCCATTCACAGAACTTGTTTATTAAATTGGAGATATCCGTCATATAAAGAATGGGAATATTTTGGCTGGTGTGCTAACCGTGATACATGAACCGTGCACACTTTCTAAAAAATAAATGGAGCCGTGGTAATGTTCAACGTTGTATTTACGAGGCAATTGGCAGGACTTCATATTTTTCCCATAAAGACTGGTCCCGCCTGACTAATGCGCGCACGCAGACACAACACAAGAGCCTCATTGAGCAGGACACGCTCTTCCCGATCCTTGACCTGAGGTGAGGCTTGCTCTTTTTCTGAAAATGAACTTTCGGGAGCAGGTGAGCTCTGTTGTCCATCAGCGAAGATGAAACGAAGCAGACGAGATTGTTTTCAGACTTGATCTGGCCATGTCTGTCTGCCGTCGTGGTGTAAACATAACAGGAGTACTATTGATTTTTGCCAGCAGGAAATCACTTTGTTGAGGATGTGTGGTTTATGGAAACTATAACACATCATGGTGTCTATCTCCGAGGCAGTTTGTGCCGTGGCATACTGAGATCACTCATATGCTCTTCGCTTTTATGCGCTTTAAAGGGGTTGCATCATATATTTTTTATTATTTATTTATGTTTCCCCCTCAGGTCCACTTGTACTATTAGCACCAAAACAGGTTATTAATACACTTTTCATCTCTAAGGAGTCATATCAAGGGGAACCTTTTTTTTTTCCTTGACCTAAAAGTGTTCCTGAGTTCTATTAAAACCAAAATAAGACCAAAAGAATAATTTATTGAAGCTGACCTGCAAAAACGTCTAGTCAAAAAACCAAATTCATGAAGCCATGCTGTTCCAAACCTGCATGCTGTTGCTTTTTAGTAGAATACAAAATAAGGTGCAGTGAATTAATAGAAAAATCAATGCTGAGGTTAAATGAAAAAAATACAATTGAAAAGGTGTAACATTTAATCCATCCGATAAGAACATGTTTTATATAAAAACTATAATTTGTTTAATTCTATTTTATTTGTTGATGTCTAAAACACTAATGACACTTATTACACTAATTAATACTCAAGTTATATTGTTTTATGATATAAAATAAAGGCGCAGTCCATAATTTTTTAATTCATTGCATATTGAGACAAAGTATGTTAATAAAATATTGATTGATTGTGAAATATTGTTACATTTTAAAGTAAGTGTTTTCTATTTTAATATGTTTGAAAATGTAATTTATTCTTGTGATCAAAGCTGCATTTTTTTGCATCATAACTCCAGTCTTCAGTGTCACATGATCAGAAATCATTCTAATATAATGATTTGCTGCTCAAGAAACATTTATTAGTATTATCATCAACGCTGAAAACACTGAAAAAAATGGAAACTGTGATAAATTACTCAAAAGTTCAACAGTTTTCTGCAGGACACATAATAAGATGCATCTTTATGCAGCTGTTTTCTACAGCGACAACATCTGTAAAGCTCCAAAAAGGACAAAAAAACACCAAAACCAATTCTTATGAAGAAAGATGGTATGTTAATCACTTCAGGGCAAGCACTTCCTCTGAGGTGACGGACAGCTCGGCTCTTTTCTCAGCTAAAGTCACCTTTCCTGTCGCGGCTCGCGGAGAGGCATCCAGTGACATGATGCCAGGTATTAAGCAGTTTTAATCTCTCTTAATCTCCCTCGTGTTCAGACCAGCCCTTCAACTTCCAAGTTGAAACTTTTATGATTTGCATTTACGATACCACCTTTATCCTTACTGTTCTCCACCATCATAAAAACACTCACCTTATTCATTAAGACAAGGAGAACGTGCTGGCCACCTCTTAAGTGCTGTAAAGAGAGTCATCTCTGAACCTGTCTGACCCCACAATGCACTGCTGCATCGCCACCGTCTGGTTTGTCAGCGCTGGTATACACATCTGTTTGGCACACGAATAAAATACTGTTCAAAATATATCCTCGAATTACAGACAGATGGACCTCTTGTGCACCTTTAGTCACTTCATGTGCTTTCATTGATCCAGTTGCTATCGGATCGGATTCGCTCGCTACTATCCGATTAGTAAAAATGGAAAAAAGTGGAAATACCCTTTAAATGTAAAAAAAAAAAAAAAAAGTCTGGGGAAATGTTGCTAGGAAACTGGGGATGCTGCTGTATATTACAACTCTGGATTGTGTTTCTCCTTATAAACCTCATTTAAAGGTCATGACCTGCATCAGGTCTTTGACCTTTGCTTTAAACGTTCATTTCTGTGACCTATAAATCAATTTAGGACTCGAACGTAAGTCAAATCGGTAACACTTTAGGATCCAATAGTTGCTTATTATCATTCAAATTACTTATAAAGCACATAATAATGACTTATTCTGAATGACCATATTCCCTTAATCCTCCCCAATACCTAAACTTAACAACTACCGTACTAACTATTAACAAGTAATTACGAGTTTATTGAGGAAAAAGTCATAGTTAATAGTTAGTTAATAGTGAGAATTGGACCCATAATCTAAAGTGTGACCGTAAAATTTGTTTTAAAAAAGGTGGTCTACATGCGCAAATAAAAATTCTTAATAAGTGTATAATTCTTATTATGTGTTGAATGTAACAACATTTGAAAATTATTAAAATAGCATATTTTAGAGAAGAATGTGAGCTCTGGTGCAAGATTATTATAATGGCATTGAGCCTGAATAATACTATTTGGCCAGTTATGAATAGTAATTTCCATAGGCTGGACATTTCCCAAACACGCTCGAAGTGCTTGACCAATCACAACACACTGACCCAGCCGACCAATCAGAGCACATTGACATTTTTGGAAGGAGAAAGCATTTCTGACAGACAGGGAAGAGAGGAGCTGTAACAAGATATGTGAAAAATAATGTGTTTTTTGAATATTCAATCATTCTAGTAGAGCTCAAAAACAAAATCAAGACTTTGTAAAAGGGCATAATGTGGCCACCTTAAGTTGTTGGATCATGACATCTAAAAATAACCATGCTTATATTTTATATAAAATATAAAAAAGTTTTTAAAAAAAAAGTGCCATTGTATTACCATGCTTTCACACCAATTTGAAGTACCATGTAAATACCATAGTATATGAAAATGGTAATA